CGATTCCATCTACTACAACCATTTTTACGGCCGTTACTACCACTCCGACTACTCGAATAATTTTTTATTACTACTATTATCGCTAGTACGACGACGACCGCGACTACTACGAATACCACTACTACTACCACTACTACTACTACTACTACTACTACTGCTACTACTACTACTACTTCTACCAATACCACGACTATTATTACTACTGCCCGTACTACTACTGCTGCTACTACTGCTACTACTAATGCTACGACTGTGATTGCTACAACTATTGCTGGTATTGTTTTGTTGCGGCTACTGCTACTACTGCTACCGCTACTATCACGACTTGAATTTCTATCGCCAGTGCCACTTCTTTATGTCCCTAGTATTTCTACGACTATTTCGACTAACGCTAAGATCGTTACGAATGATCGTGCGATTACCCTTATTACTATTACTCTTACCGCTACTACTGCTATTATTGCTACTACTACTGCTGCTTCCATTTTTTACGAATATCGGTACTACCCCTAATGTTGTTAAACTACGATTTCGATTACTACTACTATTACTACTACTACTACTACTATTACTACGAGCACGATTATTTTTTTAGCACCACTACTTTTATGACTACTGCTATTACGAGCACTATTACGACTACGACGGCGGCTACCATTATTAGTTTTACGCATTTCGTATTACTATTACAACAACTACTACTACTACTGCTACTTCTAGTCGGGCAAGTGGTAGTAGTAATTGTCGTAGTATCATTCGTTGTCGTAGTAGCAGTCGTAGTCGTAGTCGTAGTAGTCGTAGTAGTAGTAGTAGTAGTAGTAGTCGCGTTCGCACATCACTACTAGTATTTTTACTACCGCTATTGCTACTCCTACGAACTAACATGGCGACGACTACTACGACTGCGATTGCCATTCTCATTGTTTTTATTACGACCATTATTACTATTATTGCTACTACTACTACCACCACTACTACTATTACTACTACTACTACTACTACTGCTACTACTACTACTCCTACTACTCCTACTACTCCTACTACTCCTACTACTACTACTACTACTACTACTATCACTACTACTACTACTACTACTACTACTACTACTACTACTACTAGTAGCAGTACTACTACTGCTACTACTACGAGTACTACTATTACTATTACTACTACTACTATCACTTCTACTACTACTTCTACTACTACTACTACTACTACTACTACTACTCCTACTACTACTACTACTACTACTGCTACTACTACTACTAGTATTCGTACTGCTACTACTACTGCTGTGGACTCGTGAAACTCTCTTTTTCGGAAATCGTGGTCGCAGCAAGATGCTATCTTGGGGCCCTTCGTGGCTCTCTTTATCTTCTGAGGCTGTCTTCGGCCTTCGTGCGGATGCAAGACGCAGACTGGACGCCTTGGAGCCTATTGCTGAAGGACATCGTAGTCAAATTTGGCGGGCAATCTCGTAAATCATCTTGGAGCCATCCAGGCAATATTGGTCCCGTCCACGCCCGGAGGAGGAGGAGGTAGGGGAAGGGGCACCTTCCCCCCCACCCCCCGGAAAGGGTGCAGATAGATTCGGAAGATCGAGCTCTTGAAACCACCTGCTGTCAAGTTGCCAGCGTTGGGTTTCGATGGTTTTGCGATGGAAAGAATGCGTGAGGTTCCCACACCGAACATCATCGAACGTCCTGGAGTCTCAGGGTTGGGCTTCGTGTGGAAGGATTCTTGTGGCCGAGCTCTTCCTGCAAGTTCTGGGCCGCTCATTCGACCTGCGTCGGGGAAGTTGCTCGTTGCCGAGGCGCGCCCCCTCTGGCAGCTCGGTGCCCGTACGCCCCGCTGGATTCTAAGCACCCCAGCCGTGCCGAATTCGTAACGGCGTCGAAGACGATAGGTGCGACTGCGCCCTTGCCGTGATTCAGCGGGCGAGAAGCTGGTAGTATAAGATTCCTGCCCCAGCTGCTCCGAGCACGTGTGAGGTTGCTAGAGGCGCTGGCAGCTCCAAAAGGTGTCATTGACACGCGAATTCGGCTCCGCATGGAATAATGTGGGCCCCCATTAGCTTTGATATCTTCTGAGAATGTAAGGTAGGTTTGCGTCGTGTCGACCAGCGGCGACCCCAGCGCGGGCGGTCAAGGTTGAACGCCGCCGGCGGCCCAGAATCGATCGATGTTGAACGATCGGACGTTGCGGCAGCGGCCGATCGTTCAAGGTTGAACGATCCTTGCGGTGTCAAAAACCAACGCTGGGGTCGGCACGACACGAACCTGCCGTAAGGGGGGTGGCAGAGGGACGGAGGAGTGCAGTTCGGCCGCCTTGCAGAGGACGTCCGGGAGGACACAAGTCTCTTCCGAGGGCGACCTCCGCTCCACACAGGAAGAGGACCTGAGACGCGATAGAAAAGTCGCAGGGGTACACTTGGCAGGGTTGGCTCTTTAAGCAGATTCGACCGCACGAGGTGGCGGAGCATGAGGATCTAGGCCTCTTAGATGGGGTCGGAGGATCGCGCCGCATCGCCGATGCATCGACGATGCGGCTCGATGTTGAGCCCGTGTTTCCCCAAGCCGAAGTCGCCGATGCATCGCCGACGTCGCCGATGCATCGGCGATGCGGCGCGATCCTCCGACCCCACCTACCCCGACCCCATTGAGGAGGCCTCTGGAGGAGACGACGGATGAGAGTGTAGAGAAGAGGAAGGAGCGAGGAGCGGAGGCAGTCCCCTGTGGGCAAGGGCAATTCAGGCTGAATGCTCGTGGCAGTGCCGGACCGTGCGCCATCAGGGTTGAGCCCATTTTCGCAGGGCGGCACCATGCAGAGTCTGCCCGCCTGCTGTCAGAGGAGGCAAAGGTACCCATACCGCTACCTTTGCCTCGTTTTCGCTTGTTTGGGGCCTCCTAGGAGGCCCTCGTCGCCACCGCTGGATTCGCCTCGGAATCCTGGTCAGGACGCACCCTGGGAGAGGCCTGGGGAGTAGCGTTCTCGGTACCTTAATTCTGGTTTCCCCGTGCTGCTGCTGCACGCTGCACTCCATGATCCTTACTTCCTCGTCCCACGCGTTGTGTTCAGTGTCGCAGGCCCAGAGGCGGACACCAACACCAAGATCGGCGGTGTGCCTCCACTGAGGGGGGTGCCACCGAATTTCAGAAATTTGGCAAATCCCCTGTGTTTTTGGACCCTGACCCCGCCGATCTGCATGAAGGGTGCCGCCGAATTTCAGAAATGTGGCAAATCCCCCGTGTTTTTGGACACCCTGACCCCGCCGATCTGCGTGAGTGGTGTCACCGGATTTCAGAAATGTGGCAAATCCCTTGTGATTTTGGACCCTGACCCCGCCGATCTGCGTGAGGAGTAGAAATTTTGACCCACCCCAGCAATTCAGACAATAGGTTTTGGTCGTGGTAAACATGTCAGTTTGGGGCCTCTCCCCCTCGCGCGGTCCATCAACAAGGAACAGTAAGCAGCAAGAAGTCAACAAGGAACAGTTAGCAGCAAAAAGCAGAACTGTAACAGTGGAAACTGGAAGCTGCAACTGGCACAGGAAACTGCGAACCTCTGGCCTACAGCCTGGTGGCCCCACAAGGGGGCCGTCGGATATGTATGTATGTATGTATGTATGTATGTATGTATGCATGTGTGTATGTGTGTATGTGTGTATGTGTGTATGTGTGTATGTGTGTATGTGTGTATGTGTGTATGTGTGTATGTGTGTATGTGTGTATGTGTGTATATGTGTATGTCTGTCTGTCTGTCTGTCTGTATGTATGTATGTATGTATGTATGTGTGTATGTGTGTATGTATATACGTGCATATGCGCATATGTACGTATTTGCGTATGTACGTATGGTTCGGGAATATGTATAGGTGTGGCCCCTCGACGCGCCAGGGGGGCCCCTGGGCCCCCGGAGCGCGAGGGGGTCGCGCCGTGAGGCCGGGAGCGCCACAGCATGATGTGAAACGACGACATTATCCCCATCGGGGGGCATCGTGACCATCACGTTGGTAGGCACGAGCACGCAGACCCCACTGGAGCACGACGCCGCGGACGCTGCCCCCGTCTCCTCGGCAGGAGCCCAGAGGCCGTGCCAACCTGCATCGCGCGCAGCAGATTGAACGGCCCCAAGCCGCTGGTCGACCACCCGCGTCTCCTGGACCATCACCACCTTGCCGAGGAAGTGCGGCAGGAAATTGAGAAGTGGCCCGTGAGAGCCAGGGTTGACCGTGACCAGCTTGGCCGCCACCTGACAGCGCGCGTCACCGGCGTCAGGCATGGCCGTGCTGGGGCCCTGCCCAAAGGGATCGCGACCCTCCGGCATGCTTGCGTCGCTGCCGCCAGCTCGATGTCGAGGTGGTGCTTTCCGCCAGTTGCGGAGCAAGCCCGCGGACTGGTCAGCCGCAGAATTTGGACAGATTCTGTGGTTGACCAGTCGGGGGGTTGCTGACCCACCGTTGTCGGGGGCTCCAGCAGAACCCACCTCGAGCAGGGCGAATAGGCACCAGAACAGAACCAAGGTCCATCCACGCGGGCGCGCCGCACACGGTGAAGACGCGTGGACTGGAGTACAGGTTGACGGCGACGGGCTAGAGCAGCAGAGGCCGCTGGCAGGAGACACGCTGTGCTCTTCGCCCAGCGGAGGCGGACCCATGCAGCCAGGACACGACCTAGGAGCAACGTGTACATCTCACGTGTTCCTTGGGCGCCCCTCGTTAACCCTGACATTCCGCACGTGGTACTTTCTGCCAGGAAGGCCCCAGCAGACAGAATGTGCATGGTGCGCGCTGTCAGGGCACGGGAGGCCACAGCTGAAATTCCGCCCATTGGACTTCTTGTCAGATTGACGGCCGCACAGCCCGTGACAACAGGCTGACGCATAGCACTCACATCGAGTGGTCCATGCATGGCACGTGCCATTCGCGCAGCCGCGCTGGCAGGCGCTGCCTTCAAAAAGAGGCTGATCGAGCCTTCTTCTTCCTCTTGTGCGCCGTAGCCGCATGCGCGAAGGAGTCAAGGACGCGCTTGTGCGCCACCCGCATGTCCGCGTCGGTGGCGTCGTCAGGCTGCGTGAGTCCTGCCGCCTCCAACGCCTTCCGTAGCTCGGCGGACTCCATGAGGTCGATGTCGAAAGCGCGCAAGTGCATCGCCCTGCATGCACTAGAGGGGGGGGGGGGGGGCGCAGAACCCCCCCCTCCCCCCTCCCCCCCTTCCAGGGGGTGGGGGGCGAGGGGGAATCCCCCCCCCCTCCTTCCCCTAAGATGGGCGGGGGGGTCCGAGCCCCCCCCCCCGCCTTCACTCCTCACCCCCCCCCCCCCCCTTGAAGGGGGGAGGGGGGCGGGGGGGTCTGGGCCCTCCCCTTTCCCCCTTGCGCCGGAAAGGGGGCCGGGGAGGGGGGGCCTCTCTCGCTTCTCCTTTCTGCGCCAGAGAATGTGTGTAGGGAGTGCGGAGTGGGGAGTGGCGAGTAGTGAGTAGTGAGTTAGTGCGTAGTGAGTAGTGAGTATTGGGCAGTGACTAGTGGCTGGTGAGTGCCGAGTAGGGAGTAGGAAGTTGGGAGTTGGGGGGTAGTGAGTAGTGAGTTGTGAGTAGTGTGTGTGCTGGTAAGTGAGTAGTGGGTGGCGAGAAGTGAGTATTGAGAAGTGAGTACCGAGTAGTGAGCAGTGAGTATTGAGTAGGGAGTAGGGAGTAATGAGAAGTGGGTAGTGAGTAGTGGGTTGTGAATAGTAGGTGGCACGTAGTGATTAGTGAGTAGTGAGTAGTGGGTAGTGCGTAGTGAGTAGTGAGTAGTGAGTAGAGAGTAGCGGGTAGTGAGAAGTGAGTAGTGAGTACTGAGTACTGAGTAGTACGTAGTGCGTAGTGAGTAGTGAGTACTGAGTAGGGATGAGTACAGAGTAGTGGTTAGTGGCAGTGGGTAGTGTGTAACGAGTAGCGAATAGGGAGTTACGAGTAGTGAGTAGTGAGGAGCGAGTAGGGCGTACTGAGTAGGGGGTCGTGAGTAGAGAGTAGCCAGTAGTAAGTAGTGGGTAGTGATTAGTGAATAGCGACTAGGGAGTAGCGAGTAGTGAATAGTGAGTAGGGAGTAGGGAGTAGTGAGCAGTGAGTAGTAAGAAGTGGGTAGCGAATAGCAGGTAGGGAGTAGCGATTACTGAGTAGTGAGTAGAGGGTTGTTAGTAGTGACTAGTGACCTGTGACTAGCGACTAGAGACTATGTAGTGACTAATGAGTAGGGAGTAAGTAGTGAGTCGTGAGTAGTGAGTAGTGAGCTGCGGGGAGTGAGTAGTGAGTATTGAGTAGCGAGTATGGGGGTAGCGAGTCGTGAGTACTGAGTACGGTGTAGTCAGTACTGTCCAGGGATTATCGAGTAGCGAGTAGCGAGTAGTGGGTAGTGAGTAGTCATTTGTGGGCAATGAATAGTGAGTAGCGGATAGTGGGTAATGGGTAATGAGTAGTGATAGGTGAGTAGCGCCTAGGGAGTAGTATGTAGTGCTTAGTGAGTAGTGAGTATTGAGTAGTGGGTAGTGAGGAGTGAGTAGTGAGTAGGGAGTAGGGAGGAGGGAGTGGTGAGTAGGGAGTAGTGAATAGCGAGTAGTGGGTGGTGGGTAGTGAGTAGTGGATAGTGAGTAGCGACTCGTGAGTAGTGAGTAGGAGTAGTGAGAAGTGAGTATCGAATAGCGAGTAGTCAGTAGTGGGTAGTGAGTAATGAGTAGTGAGTACTCTTTGGGGCTGGGGTTCTTGTTTGGGGTTAGGGTTAGGGGTTTGGGTTGGGGTGAGGACTAGGGGTAGGGGTGGCGGGGGTCGGGTTCCGGAGTCAGGTGGCGGCGTGGCGCAAGGGGGGGAGGGGGGTGGGGTGCGGCCAAAAGGGGGGAGGAGGGGGGGGGGGTGGACCCCCCCCTCCCCTTTTGAAAGGGGGGGAGGGGGGGGGGTCCCGACGAAGGACCTGGAAAGGGGGGGGGGGGTCACCGACGACGGATCGGGGAAGGGGGGAAGGGGGGGGGTCCCCGACGACGGATCGAGGAAGGGGGGGGGGGGTCCCCCCCCCCCCGTCCCCCCCCCCCGTGGGGAGTTCCAGCGGCGCACCCTCGTCGATGTCGATCTCCATGTCGTCCCTCGCAGCTGCACCTGGCCCGCGAGGAGAACGGCGGTGGACGCAACTCCTCCTCCTTCTTCCCCAGCAGGGGTCGCAGGAGCAGGGGCGGCAGAGGGCACCTGTGCCGCCGGCGGCTTCGCCTGGGGAAGCTCATGGAGCCTCCCGCAGACGTTGGCCGCTGTCTCCAGCTCTGCCTGAAGGCTGGGGTCCAAGCCGAGCCCCACGGCCAACTCGCCAAGCTGCTGGACGTTGACAGCGAACTTCGGCAGCAGCTCATGGAGCGCGGGCTTGCCAGCAGTGGGCGGAAGGGGCTCGGTCGGCGCCCAAGCGCTGGACCTCCTCCTCCAGCCGCAAGGCTTCGGCATCTGCCTCGGCCAAGGAGTCCTGCAGCACCGTCTGCTTGGCAACCAG